GGCTCGTTCATTTCTTAGTAGTTTGGGGGGCCTGCAGCAGGGCATGGGTGCGTGCCAGTCTGTTCCTACAGCCCACTCAACATTCTGTGTGTGTTTTGTTTTGCTCATGTCTCCTTTGGCACGGCACGTACGCTACAGGAAGTCCTCTTCCCCGAGGAGTACAGGCTGTTCCAGGTGCTCGTCAAACGCGGCGCCGAGGTCCCCAAGGCGGCGCCAAAGTCCGGCCGCAGGCTGTCCCACCCCATGAAGCTCCGCTTGTGGTTCAACCGGGGTGCGCTCTGCCTCACTGCAAAGGTAAGAGAGTAGCCGCGGGCGTGTAGGCGTACATGTGTGTTCCTTGAGGTTACGCTCGCTGCGCGGATGCTGCCCTGGTCCTCTGTCGAATGTCTCACGCTACCATCTAGCAAGGCTTGGCGGGAGGGTGCTCCTGCGGCCGGATATGTGCTGCCTATGAGAGCCATCCCCGTGGTCTATTCATGTTCGTGCAGGCCTGAACCTCCGCTGTAGGTCAACTTTGAGGGTTGACGCTGAGTTTTGGTGTATGTTTGCGCCATGTGGTGCGGCAATAGTCTGTTGATTGTCATCCCAAGTAAATTAGTCTAGCCCCTCGGCATGTCGTCTCGGCGGAAGGTACTTGTTTTGGTCCGGCCTTTGTCCGGGAGTGGGCTGCGCAGCAACCATCACCTGCACCAGGAGTGATAAAAAGATTAACATTCTTCCAATATAACAATGCTGTAAATGATTCTGTTGTTTCAACATTCTCAATGATGCTGTTGTTTTGAATACATGACGCTGTTGTTTCGAAGAGATCTGCAATGTGCTTCGAAGCACCCCCCAAGTCGAAACTATCGCCCCAACAACCCCCGAAGTCGATTCATCTCATCCTCTCTCGGACTTGTTGTTGTTGCTCCCCTGCCCGCGTTTCTTTCGTCGGGAAAAATTCAGCGAAGCAAGCCAGACGGCACGGCGAGCAAGGACCACAGCTTCTACCTCTCCAAGGTCAAGACCTGCCTTGTCGCGGTGACGGCAGCCGTCCGAGACTCCGGCGGCTCAAGCAGAAGGGGCAGCAGGAACCACTGCAGCAGCAGCAGCAGTAGCAGCGGCAGCGGCCACAGCGACGCCGCCATCACCCCGAGGCTCCCGTCGGACGCCAGCGATAACGCCTCCCCCGCCGGCAGAGGGAACAAGGGTGGGCTGACGACTTCCGCGACCTCGTCGCCGTTGGCCTTGTCGCTGTCGTCATCACTTCCGTTCTCGGTTCCGCCGAAGCACCTTCCCGGGGCCGCAGGGACGGCGGCGGCGGCGGCGGCGGCGGCGGGGTCCCGGCGCGGTGGTCTGGAGGAGAACACCGCCCACGACGAGGCGGACAGGGGAGCCGGTGGTGGGAACTCCAGAAGCCTCCACGGTAATGGTCGCGGCGGCGGGTCGGTGGTGCCGCCGCCGCCAGCGGCCAAGGGTCAACGCCCGGATGGTGATGGTGATGCCAGCAGTGTTGTAAAGGCGGGGGAGGATTGGAGCTCCCAGCAGGCGTGCGTGATGTCGATCCACTTCTTTGGCCGGACGATTACGCTGGACCTGTGGTTCGCCAGCGAAACCGAGGCGGTCGAGTGGCAGGTGATCACAATAACGTACTGGGTTTCATGGTGATAATGCTGTAGTGTGTCAAGCTGTAGCTGGGTTTGTCAAGCTGTAGCTGGGTTTCAATGCTGTTGAGACGGTCGGCAGGAATGGATGTGCTTCGGATTCCCGCTGTTTAAATCTTCACCTGCATCCCAAAGTTGATTGGCCCCGGTAGATATATAGCCCGGAGCACGTTGTATGTGGTATGTACGCTTATGCGCCGCTTACAGCACCACCGGCTGCAACATCGCCAAACCCGTCCATCGCTAGACCCCAACCCCACTCAACAAAGATAAAATTCATGCCATCGCCGCATAACGAAACAGGGATTGCTGACCAAGCTGTCCTGGAAGGAGCAAGGCTATCTATACGGGGCCCCGTCAGGAGACTCGGGTGGGGGAGGGGGCCACGCGGGAGGGCATTCCCGTGAGGTTGCGCCGGGGGGGGGGCGTGACGCGGAGGGGGCTCACGGGGATAGAAAAAGTGGGCGCGGCGGCGGCGGCAGCGGCGGCGGCGGCAGCGGCGGCGGCGGCATTGATGGGAATGGAGGACGGGGGACGGCGCCAGCAAATACCAGATCGACGGGCTGTTCGTCGTCCACTCACAGGCCAACGTCGCCGCCCCTTTACGTGCTGTGAGATTGGGTGCAGTGTTTGCGTTCTGTTTTTGAGGGGGGGGGGGATAGAGTGGGACGCCCCGCCCGCAATCCAATCAGAAAAACGACGCGTGTTGTGTGTTTGCGAGTGTGTGTGCGGCGGGGCCCCGGCCGTATGTTGCGGCCGGGGAGGGAAGACAGGGCTGCGTTCGGCAGGTTGGGGGGTTCTAGAATATGTTTTAAGCAGAGGAGCGAACGGCCCCTTATCTCCACACACATGTATTTGTCCATGGTAAGTGAACAGGCAAGCGTTGCTTTGCATGTTCAAGATGGAAATACGGGGGGGGGGGGGGGGNGGGGGGGGGGGGGGGGGGGGGGGGGGGGGGGGGGGGGGGGGGGGGGGGTTGCTTGATGGTCGCAAAGGTCTCGCCAGCTTTTCGATGTTTAGGTGTACGCCGGAACCTAGCACGGGGGGGCTTCGTCGATCATGCATTGGGGGGGGGTCGTTCATGCCCCCTGCCCTACACGCTTTCAGCTTACTTCAAGCAATTGTCACACATGCCAGCTTCTTTTGTTTTCTGTGACCCCATGTGTTAGGAGTGATAGTCCAGAACATGATTGCTGCGCGTGGCTCATTCGCCGCGGGTGTCGCCGATAACCGGCTCCGTGTGCTATTTTGTTGCGACTCTTGTGGTTTGGAGCTTTCCTTGGCAGACTCATTGCATGCGCTCAGGCTCTTGGAGTGTTGGGGGTTCCGTGCATGCATGCGGGTGGGGCACCGCGTGGCAAATAGCATGGGTTCAGGGCAATCGAATTCGAAGTTTTTTCGAAGGAGTGTCGATATCATATGGGGCACGCAGTACGAATCACATGCAATACCAAAGGCGGAGAAAAATCTGCAGGTATTCATGCGTACACTCCTGGGTTCGGTCGTGAAGAAAATCTTCGTTTTTCAGATGCAAGTCAAATTGTCAAGTTGTGCCGCGTTCCGGTTCGTGGGAAGGTCGGTAGTCATAAAAAAAGTCCAATTGGCATCGCGTCATGCCGTTATGTGTACCATTATCACGTTGGAGGATGTGTGGGGAGTTCCGGGTCGTCACTCCCAATAGTGTACCGCGTGTAGGGGGGGGTGATGGTGGCATTGTTGAACGCACGACTGCGTAGAAGGGTAAAGCATTGGTAACTTGAAGCGTAACGGGGAAGGGCTAGCACCCGTCGGTTGTCACTACTACCCCGATCTATCGGTCGGCGGCGCTGTTGAGGGTTAGCCACTCGGCAAGCTTTGGAATTGGCGTGGTTTTGCGAGCATGTGTTGATTGCCTTTGTTCGCCGGGGCGCGGTGCTTGTCGCAACTGCGAATGGCTTGCGTTCCCGTGTCGGTGCCGTGTTACCGCGGCATGCCAGTTGTGGCCTTTCATTTCCTTCGTCGCATTGTGATTGTGTGATTGACCTTCCTCCTCTGTTGACCCCGGCTGATCGGTCAAACGCGTACACAGTGGTGCGATTAGTAGGCTGGCGGCAGAATACATGGGACGAATACACACATACACACACACACACACACACACACACACACACGTGTTGCAACCGCTGCTGGTTAGGTGGGCTGTTGGCTGGTGGCACCAGTCGGTGCTCGCTCTGTACGTGGAACGGGTCGACGGATTGTGGATTTCCCGTGGTACCTCGGCGTTTCTGTTGGGTATTTCCGCCAAGCCACACACCCCGCGGAGCGCTGCCGTTTCATGCGCGGTCGTGTCACGCCTGCCACGCAATGCTTGTCTTGCCACGCGGTATGGAGCCGCAAAACATGTATGTGTATGTGCAGTCTCAACAGGAGGGGATTTTTGTGTTGTGATCGCACCGCTGGATATGTGCGTCGCGCTAGGAGCAGGTTTGTCCTTGTTGGGGGTCGCGGGACTCACGGGGGGGATTACAGTTACGGTGTCGCGTTCCCCCCTCCTATTATGTTAGTCAGGAAAGTCGTTTTCGAAAAATTCGGTTTACATCATGGGTGCTTGCTTCCTGAATGGTGCTGTGCATGCGTTGTCGGGTGTTGTTTCCAAGTCTGTCTAGTGTAGGAGTTGTTTTCTGTTCCGCTGGTGGAGAGTGGAGAGGAGGGGTCGTGCTGGGCGGGCGAGGCGTTTTCTGTCTTGGTTTGATTTGTTCTCAGCTGGAAGAGCGAGGGCGGCCCCGTGGCGTAGAAGTACCCTCCCAAAAAAAAACGAAAGGCGAAATGTGCAGGGGTTGACCGGGGGGGGGGAGCAAAATGCGGTGCGGTTGTAAATGCTTTAGTCATTTTTGGCGCGGTTCAGTGGGAAGAATTACGGGTTGGGTAGGGGACTTGGCTTGTGGGGGCAAGAAGAACATGCTGAATTCTGAAGGGTGCTTGTCTCCGTTTGTTTGTGGGCAGTTTACTCGAGTGCTTTAAATGATTTAGCGTTTCGAGCAGACAAGCACCTTGTTTGTGGTTCGCTACTTGTCCTGTGTATGTGAGATGCTCGTATTAGTGGCTGGGATTTTTCGTCGACGCCGCTGCTGCGGTTTTTGCTTGGTTCCGTTTCGTCTTTTTGGTTTGGTTCCGTTGTTGCTGTTCGAGCTGCTGCGGGAGTGTCACTGTTGGCCAGTGAGACTCTTTCGCTGGCCTCATGCTCAGCTTGTAGGGGGGAATGGTGGAAAAGGGCGGACAGTAATGGGCGTTGACTTAATATTCTAGGGTTTTGTTACCCGTAAAAGGAACAACTACCGTCCGAAAAACATCATGGAAGTGGTTGCGGTTTTTGTGAGAACTCGTCTTATTTTTGTGGGGCATCCAGCAGCTCGGCACGTTGCACACCACCTGTGCAGTGGTGGCAGGCCACGTTTTTCATTACGTTTGTCAAATTTCGGTATGACCGTCCGTGCGCGGGGAAGCCACGATATGACTGTGAAGACAAAAAGGCTCCCGCCCCGCTGTTGCCTGCAACCGACGATTTTTACGCCTACATCCACATCGACACGGCATTCGGCCGAATGTTTTATGTACCCTCTCCAGATAGTGGCGGAAAAAAAAAAACACTCGTATGCATACATTCGTTCAATGTTTCCTCTTTGTTAATTGCACCTGTCGTTTCAGCAGCGACAAACTGCTGTTGTCGGCCACTTGACGTGACACTTGCGGGTATCCCGTGCCGCCAAATTCTGTGCCACAGGTCGATTGGTCGTCACGTCGTTCGGCATGCCAACATGAACAGTTGTGCCTTGGGCAGTAAATACGTCGTCGAACCTCTGTAGGTCCTCATTCCATTTCGGTGGGGCTATTATCAACAAACACGCACGGCACCATTTTTCGGGGATTTCGGGGACATAATTTTTTCGTGTTCCCTTCACTTGATACTGGAGCAGGCCGTCCTCCCAAAACTGAAGGCATTCGGGTTTGACGGTGCACGTTGTCTCGAATTTCAGCTGAAATCGTGCATCAGTCTGGCTACAAAAGTCACACAGGAGAAGCCCTTTCGTCGGTTGATTTGTATCGCGAGAAAGGGGTAGGCTACCAGCAGTCCCTTCCCCCTTCTTCGTGGTGTGTACTCATGACGACAATTTTTCCCTTGGAAAAAAAAAAAACGAGACTGTTGCACAAAAAGATTCGAATCCACAGTCTAGAGCGAGAGGTGAATGCTCTTGACACAGGACATCATGGGCGAGTAGAGAGTTGCAACAATGCGTTTTTTGCTCCAGGGGTACTTCGTTTGCCGCCAGGGCAATCGTCAAGAACATCATCTTTGCCCATTCTAGCCGTGTTGGAAATGCTTGGGAGGGGAGCGGACAACATCGATCAAGGCACCCACGGCCTATCCGTGCTATCAAAGCTTCTTTTATTCCCCTGCTCTTCCCCTGCTCCAATCGCAAGGGCAGGAAGACTTTTCGGTTTGCTCCTTATGTTCCCTCGCTCCTACCTCAAGGCCAGGGGGAATTCTGAATGCTCCTTGCCGTTGCTCGCGGCCACGATCTCAGGTGTACGTACGGTGTTTTGCACGACCGAGATCAGTGTCACCCCCACATCCAGGTTCTACAGCAGCAGAATTACCGCGCTTGAAAAAGCAATCAAACATTGGCATGCGCTCTCCTGTTTACGGTACGGCGTGGTGCTTCTTGCTTCGCATCAGGAGAGTAATGGGATTGGAAACACAACCAACGAGCGTTCATTCCTTGAGGTCAACCCGAGCAACAGCGGTGACTTAATTGTCCCGCCCGTGTCCACTGACGACGACCCTTTCCACCGCCACCTCGCACATGCAGCCTGCTCATACCACAAGAGAGACAAGGTTAGCCACCGGTGAGAGCACACCGGTCATTGTCGATACCAACCATTCAACGAAGGACAGCAACGACCCACAACAATCGACCCATCCATCAGAACAAAAAATGAATACTCCTACATGATTCGTAAGGGGGTTGAATGGCCGAAAACCAAACCACGCAACGCAAACTATCCAGTCCCAGCTGCGAGCGCAGACGTCCCCACTACTGGAACAAAACCGCGCGTGCAACGAACGACGAAGAACAGAAAGCGAAACGCGTCCACCAAAAGAACAGGTACAAAACCGACCGAAAATAAATCGCAGCAGAAATCAGGCCTCTCAAGACACACACTCCTCAAAAAACCACCACACACCAAACCACAATCCCAACGCAAACAGCAACGACATCCCAAAGCCGACCCTGGGACTTGTTCCTCCCCCCTCCCCTCCGAATACCTCAAGGCGCTTCGCGCGTGGTGATACACTAGCCTGGTCCGGCAAAAACCGGCGTGCTCCGTCCTGGAATGCGAGGTCAACAACAACGGCATGCACGGCTACGAGTACCAGCCCCCCCCCCCCCCCCCCCCCCCCCCCCCCCCCCCCCCCCCCCCCCCCCCCCCCCCCCCCCCCCC